CTTGAGTTGATTATTCTCATTTTTTTATCTGGGATGACAGATATATCGTTGAGGATTTTTCTTTTAGTAGCACGCTTCAAGTCTTCTATTATATCAATATCCATAGGTTCATCTTCTTCTTTGTCATCGATAATAGGTCGTTATCGTCTCGGTGGTGACGGCGGTGGTCGTTTTTTTCTTATCCACTCGGGTAATTTTATTTTCATTGCTACTGCTGAAAAGTTTTAAACACTCTTCAATATTCTTCGTTACATCTGTTAGTCGTTTATTCATTCCACTCAATAATTGAATACATTTTCTTTTGATATTAGCAGTTAAAGGTGTACGATTACGACGTTGTAAGCCCATACCTAATTTGACTTTTGCCTTCATGGTACCTGCGACTGCTAGGGCAGCCATTTTTTCTCCTAATGAACTATCTTTCGCTTTGAATCGCGTCATAGCCTTCTCAGCTAGAATTCTATCAGCTTCATGTCTACGAATCAAATCTTTGGTTTGTGAATAACAATATTCATATCCGGGTATATGCAATTCAACGGGTAAATTATTGATAGCGCTATTCACCAATCCATCACCGTAACGTTGCATATTAGATCTTTTCGCGTATAAGTTTGAAAGTTGACTGATTAAAATTCAGTTACCTCAAGTATTTTATTGGAAATAGATATGCAAGGTATTAAAGTTATTCCACAAACAATTGCTCTACCAATCGAGAATAATATATTTGAAACAGAGGAAACTTTCAAAAAGCATGGTATGCTATTCCCCTCTACAATAAGGTGTATAATTGTTGGACTTTCAAACTGTGGTAAAACAAATAATGATGAATATGTTGGAGCATGCAAATGGATTGAAATTTGAAAATATATAGGGGAGAGTAGTACACAATGAGACACAATTGAAAATAAATGCAATAAATTTCAACCTAACTTTATTAATGCACTTCAGACGATACAGAGCGTAAGTACGAACATTTATTCAACAAATTTCAAGCTTTTTAAAATAATTGGANTCAGTGCCAGTGAAAATATAATGCATCCGTCTGAAGCTAATCCCAATTCGATTTTTATTTTTGATGATGTTGCTTGTGATAATCAGGAAGTTATAAGAGAATACTTCAGTATGGCGAGACATGCTGCTGTCGATCCATTTTATTTGAATCAAAGTTATGCAAAAATACCCAAACACTTAATTCGAGACAATGCCAATCGTTTAATCGCTTTCAAACAAGATGATCTAAACTATACCGATCATGTAGGAACTGACATTACCTTTGATACCTTCAAGGTGATTTGTTCTTTATGTTGGAGAGAACTTTATGGATTTATTACTATTATTAAAGATTGTTGTCTCAATAGGGGTCGTTACCGCAAAGGACTCGATCACTTCATACACATTCAAGAATAAAAATGGAAACAAACCATATTATCAGATTAATACCAGTTCAGACCTGTTGTAAACCAGTTCAGACCTGTTGTTAACCAGTTCAAACCAGATAAAACCTGTTCATAACCGGTTCAAACCGGATCAAAACCAGTTCAGCAGACCTGATAGAAGCAGATCAAGTGTCGGTTCAACCTATTCAAATACCTGATCTATTCAAACTCTGATAGAGACCAGTTTGACAATGAAAAGTGAAGACATAGAACTGAAAAAAAGACTCATTAATGAACGGAAAATTGTTAAAAATAAATTGGAACTTTTGAAACATGGTGAATTACTACATGAAAGTATGTTCAATCCAATTACAAAACACCTGAAAAATATAGAGAATAAATTACAAGACAAAATTCCTAAATTAGGTGAACAACAAGAAACATCATCTGAATCATATAAAACGTCTCCAATACAACAATACTTATTGCAAACTCCAAAAAATGAAAAGATGTTTCCCAAGATTCCTCGTCGATTATCAATGAAACTACTTTCAAATTCAGAACCAAAAATAGAAAATGTTTCACATTCTGATGATGATGAACCAAGTGAAATCAAGCAATCTATTGTAGAAAATATTCAGTCTGAAGATGAAGAAGAAGAAAGTCAATCATCTGGAGTTAATCGTCTGAAAGATATTACACAAACTTCATATATTGATTATTTAAATCAATATGNAATCCAACGCCCTTCGTGGTATTAGCCAGGGGAGTAGTTGTTTTCTGATAGGCGTCAGTCCATTAAACTTACTGTGTAGGTATATAGAGACTGGCCTGAACGTTTAAAGTTCTGCTTTAGATTTATCCTATTAATTTCACTGAACAAGATCAAAAAAATTATAAAAATTATAAACAAATTGTTTTGAAAACTAATGCTCATAGGAGGCATTATCAACCAAATAAACAAATTAATGGTAGTAAATTACAAAAGTATAAAAATATAATAGCTCCAATAACTGGAATATCCGGAAAAGGTATGTTAATGGGAGTAGATAACAATAAAATAGATTATATTAGATGGGATGATCCAAATGAACTTTGTGTCAGTCCATTAACCTACTGTGTAGGGTGTTGAGACTGGCCTGAACGAATTGTTCTTTCAGATGATTTGATTTATAGCCAGTCTTCAAGTATGCCCACTGACTATNAAGGCAGGCAGGTCATTCAGGTCATCAAAATGAAATAAATTCCATTATTGAAGAACTGCGAGAAGCTAACATAATTGCATGAGAATTCAACAGAACTGATTAGAGAGAATGGAAGTCGAAGCACGTATGCATTTGATACACGAAAGAAATTTCGAAACTTTTGAAAGTAGAATCGAAACTTTTCAGAATTGGACGTATGAATTTCCAAAAGATAAACTTGCTGATGCTGGTTTCATTTATACTGGTAAAGGTGATATTGTTGCGTGTCCGAAATGTCACATTGAAGGATTCGAATGGAAAATGGGAGACGATCCGCTGATGGATCACTTCAGATGGCAACCAGATTGTATATTTTTTAATGGAAATACATTGCTCTCTGGAAAAGAAACTCAAGAAAAAGGAGAAGAAAAACCACCCAAAGACAACATTCCCACAAATTCAAGTAATATTTGTAAAATATGTTTAGAAAAAGAAATGAATATATTATTTGTACCATGTAAACATATAGCATGCTGCATTGATTGTTCTATCAGATGTGATAATTGTCCAGTTTGTAGATCATATATTGAATCATTTATAAAAATTTTTATTACATAAAAATAAAACATAAAAAACGTAGCAATGTTATTTTCATTATTACACCCTACTTGTTATTGTAAATCGAATGAAACCTTGTATTCATGAGGAATTACATATTTTCCAATTCATTTACAAAAAATATCCATATTTAATCATACATATGACCTTAAGGTCAGCTAATCTGGTTTATTATCAGGCAAACAACAAGTATTCCAACGAAATGCAACGAAAATATCCTAATTAACTGCAACAAAATTGTCTCAAGGTCAACTGGCGCACCGACAATGTCATCGAATAAAACACATTGGCGTACGCCTGGGTACATGATTTAACGAAAAGGGGTCGCCTGATGAGGGTGTCCGAACAGGGGTTGCTCGAAAAGGGTTGGTCGAAGACGATTCACTGAGCCAAAAGGTCTCTAATACGACACGGCTAATCTACACCAGTCGAGGCCTCTTCTCACAACACCCTCTGGTCATTGACCACCACAACCCTCTGGTCATTGACGATCTACAAGAACAAGGGTTGCTCAGAACACATTGTCAACACCATTGTTCTTCGCCAACAAGGCCTTTTTGACACACTTCTTCACCCCAAACAACCGCACCCCTTACGCTCTCGATGGACAGCTCGATGGCATGGTTACCATTGTATCTAGAACCACGTTAGCTATACTACTCCTATAACATTTAATTTTTTCATAATTATTCAGGGCATTCCACCTAAAATTCACCTAAAATCTCCAGAACTAGAAAATATATTTCAATTCTGCAAACGCTAGTAAATTAACAAGAATGATAACTTCAAGTATACACACAAGTCAACTCAACTTTTTTGGTGGTAACAACTTCCAAAGATGGTGTATTTGTATATGGAAATGAATTTGGAACGATTTTTGAATTAATAAAGAACATTTCTTTCACGAATTCATTATTATTTTCTGAGTAAAACATTTCCTGACAATACACCATTTTGGAACTAAAGAGTGTTGAAATGCAAAAACTAAAATTGTTTTCATTCCAGAATTTCTAAAATATTGAGTATTTTTTCAAAGAACCAACTGCATGAAGCACTATGTTTTTCCCAATCATCAACTTTCGATCAGCAACCAGTGGCTTACAGAAGGGGTAGCTGATCCCACTTATATTCCAATATCACTGAATGCCGTAACAAACATGATGTTATGAAAATTGGGCGGTATGCAGTGATGTTATATCTAGAATTTCATGAAGAAGGAATCAAAACTTCAAAAGACTGCTTAAAAAAGTTAGATTACAGTGTATTGAGAATCTTCTGTATCGATTTGAATTCGTTTTCGTTAATATAAGTTTAAAATATTCGAAAAAATATTGTTTGGAATCTAAAATATTTGTGAAACAGCTCACTTTACGAAAAAAATTTAAGTGATCAAAACTATTACAAATTACATACTCTGTCAAATATACGAAATATGTAAGTTGTTGCCATTGAAAACATTTTTTAGCCGCAGAGCCATTCAAATATGAAAAAAATGTGACTTGACTTTTATCAAGCTGCAGTTGTCGTTCCTGTTAACGCATTTACGTTTGCAGAAATAAAATATGTTCTCTTCTTCCGGAAATATTCCGTAACTCCAACCGCTGTCTTTTTCTTGAAATTCTTCAAGTTTTGTCAAAATATTATGTTTGATATGCTCATCGTAAAATAATTTCAAATCTGTATTCGAATCGAGAATTCTGTTTTTTGTTTGAAAATGTTTGATGTCAGTTTCACCGGTTTGAGGTTTCATGAAATTTGCTAAAAATATAACGTTTTTTGTATTTCTGCACAGGTATTCATTGTTGTTGAGTAGCGTGAAAACGATAAAGTGAATAACGAACGATAATCAACACAGTTTTTATCTATTCTCACTTACCTAGCGAATGATGTCAAATTGCGATCAGTTCAATTTACAAACCTATTTCATAAGATTTATGCAGCACTGATTTGCTAATGAGTTGTTATTTCGAATGCGCGCTATTTCCATAATTTAGAGGTCATCTTTTATATGATTATGTAAATCATGAACTTCAAACGTCTGTTTATGGCAATGAATTTCTTAATGGAAAAATTACATTACGTAATTGATACATGATAATGCACTCGCAAATCATGAACTTTACATGTGTGTTATGGTAACACGGTATTGATATTTCTTAATAGAAAAATTGTATCACGTACTTGATACATGATAATGCACTCGTTTATCATTGCATAAACAACATACGTACGATGTTATTCATTTTTTCAGCACAATTTCACAGTATAAATTGACGGATCTATGTCTTTGGAAAATCATTCTAGTTACGAGTGAATCGATACAACAACAAAAATGTCAACTATTCCGACAACTTTAATTATCAATATTACAAATACAAAAAAGTTGCCCGTCAATATGGCAATGGTGGTGCTTAAACAATTATTCAGGTAAGTCATTTTCAACTAATATTATTACTTGTGTTTGAACAATTTTTCATATTGTTATAGATATGGTGTGAAGCAGATCGTAAAAAAATCTGAGGACTGTATTTTAGTTTCTTTAAAATATAGTCCGAAGATGGTTACTTTGACTAAGAAATTAGGTAATTTGCAAGTGAAAGTAACCCGGGCAATGGCTGAAAATGAACAGGAATTGGGGTTTCTGGAAACAGCAGTGAAACGGTTCAATTTCAATATACAAGATGATGATGACGTGGACGCTATTCCATCACCTCCACCACCAAAAAAGTTGAAGGCTTCATCATCATCATCAAAAGAAATTCTACCCCTTCCAACACGATCACTATCTCCTGTCATAATCGAAGATTTTGAAGAAGAAAACTCTCAACACCCTACTTATTTCCAAGAATCCCAAGATTTTTTGTGATTGNCCTGTACCAAAAAAAGATAAAAAATACACATAGGTCCTCCAGATGACATAAAATATGACAGTATTGGACATTACCCAGAACACCAAGATGGACATGAACAACGGTGCAAACTAGAGACATGTGTTGGACGTTCAAGAATTCAATGTGAATGTGATTGCGAACTTCGTTTCAATTGTATGAAATTTTGTGTTGTATAACCTGATGGTGGCATTTGCCACGACTTCCTAGTTTCTACATCTATGATGATGTTCTATTCAAATTACACAAGAGTTATTCTAGTGACCATGAGCAATATTCTGACCAGAATTTTTTTTCTCATTTTATTTTATTTATGTTTAGCAACCCAAGAGATCTTTCAACAAGTAATAGAATTGCCAGAAATCAATTAAGAATTATTTTGAATAATTGATACGGATAACCTTTCTCAAGCTATAGAAAATCTCTCACTTGGTGAATATTCTAACGTAACAGATTCAAATTCAGATATGGCTTTCAATTATCAAGAACTTAGATTATTTTTGGATATAATTCCAATATCCGCAGGAGAACCACCATGCGAATTGAACAACTTTTGTGCTTCATGTGATGAAATTTTGAGTAATTATACAAATGATAATGCAACAATCAAAAAACTGATTTTTGGAGCTATAATCTCAAATTTGAAAGGCAAGGCCTTGATTTTAGTATCCAGCAGAGTTGAACTCATTGAATGGGAAGACGTTAAAAACCTTTTAAAATTGTCTTTCTTTGACCAAAGATATTTTTCCTGTCTATTACAAGAATTGCACAGTATGAAACCTTATTTTAAAGAAACCTCGTACAATTTTGGTATGCGCTGTAAAATAAATAACCCCTCAAATGAAAACGAAACTCTTGACCAAAATATTGATTTTCAAAATATTGTAATATCTGATTACCAAAATATTTTCAATGATAAATATTCAGATCAAAATAGGCAAGACTTTGATGATGTCCCATATGATCAAAATTTTACTGATTTTCAAGATATGATATTAGAGCAAGAAGATTCAGAAACTCAAGAAAATATAAATGTTTCGATTCAAGCCTCTTCAATTCAGGTAACTTAGAAATTAATGTAATTTTACCCTTCATGACTATAGCATTGCCCTACACCTTTTATTAGATTCAGGCAGTCACTTTTCAATAATAAATCCAGCTATAGCAAATAAATACTTTTCCGAATATGTTGTCATTAAACCGAACTCTCTCAAAACATCTTGTGGAGAAAAGCACACGAAATATATTGCAATTTTACCAGTCTTTGCAGAATTTCATTCAGGACAGTAGATTTCGTTTACACTATTCGATTTTCATAAATTCTTTGACGGTATAATAAGTTTTAAGGATTTGACAACCATGGGATTTGACTGGAGTATTCAACAAGGAATATTATTTTGAGATAATATTTCCATTGAAGTTCATCAATGTTCACCTAGCGAATACTCATCCTACGATTGGAGGTCACGAAATATATTCCACTCAGATACCAGTAAATGCAACTACAGACGGAACCTATTATACTCCTGAAACAAAATTATTGACAATTGTTTCATTCCAAAATGTATTACCACAATAAAAAATTGCTATGCGGGTGTCGAAATTCATAATTATAATGCTTTCGATGAGCATTTTTCATTACAAACACCTCTCGGGGTGTATTCAACAGAACATTTGATTGTCTGGGATTACGAGTTAGATAATTTCAACAACCGTTCTCACTCTATACAACTAGAACATTTACTTCGACTAGACCATCTAAATTCTGACGAAAAAACAATACTAACGCGTTTATGTAAACAATTCCATACTGTTCAAAAACCAGACCAACCTTTATCCTCCACAACTCAAACAACTCATAAAATTAACACAACAGACGAAGAACCCGTGTATTCTAAAACATATCGATTTCCCCAAATCCATAAACGTGAGGTAGATGAACAAATTGCTCAAATGTTAAACGACGGTATAATTCGAGACAGCACCTCTCCATAGTCTAGCCCAATTTGGGTGTTTCAAAAAAACCGGACGCTAGCTGTACAACAAAATGGAGAATCATCATTGACTACAGAAAACTTAACGAAAAAGCTATTACAGAACGGTTTTCGATCCCAAATATAGATGATAAAATTGGTAGAGCACCTTGGATTTAGCCAGCGGCTTCCACCAAATAAGAATGCATCAAGACAGTATTTCGAAAACTGCTTTTTCAACTGACCGAGGACATTATGAATATCTTCGTAAGGATTTGAATCGCACTGACTCTTCGCTCCACTCTGAAATGCCAACTCTCAGCTCTCTTCGCTCTTATCTTTGCTCTCCTTCTTCGTTCTTATCGCAGCTCCAGTCTGTAAGCACACTAAAGAGCGGGAGGACCGCCATACTGCATTTTTCAAGGGTTTTTTGTATACTCTTTCGTTGTTAAATAACGATCAAACGCTGAAATTTCAAGCAGGCGTTATAAAGTTGCTGCCTTGATGAAAAGTGCGCTGAACAAATATTAATATTTCACCAGTGGGACGTTGGAGGAAGACAAAAGAAGAAAACACACCCCATAAAATAAATCAAGCGAGGATACTGAAAAATTTCTGCAAGATTATATGCATGAACGCCATTGCATTGTCCTGACGCCGGACCTTATATTCTTACCGCACATCATGGCTGGGCCGTGCCTGGAGTGCTCACCAGAGGAATAGCGCTGACAGTGTTCCTGCCGATGGACCCACTTCGTGTGTTTAATTTTTGACGAACATATTGCTGACTTTACATTCTAGAATTTGTATAAATAGTTATTAAAAATGAGATGAGGTATTAATTAGGGCAAACTATTCTTTTGATATTGTAGTTACTATAAGCTCTCGGAAATAAAGAACATCAGTTGAAACACAGTTATCAAAATGGATTCATTAATTTCAGTGTGCCTTGGTAATTCTTCGAATCATCAGAGGTTTTTCATCATTAATCACATGTTTGAATCTCCGGACCAAACGACTGCGAGATTCAAAACATAACTGGAGCAGTCGGCGAAGATTATTCTCATATCAAGAAAGGACTTGCGGATAATCCGAGGAAAGCTAGCCTTCAGAAAAACAGAGTCATCGTGCCAAAACCTTGGAAAGTGATTAATGGAGTTCTGAAACAGCTGGAACAGGAGCCTTCAGGAACAAATATCTTGAAAGCACCTTATTTAACAGTTAACCCTTTCGGCCCTACCTGTGGCAATTGCCACCCCGATATTCAGAGGCCTGTGAGTTTGGTGAGAAAAATATTTAGGCTTCCAACCTTTGAAGGTCCCCACTTCTAATGTTCTCATTCTAAAGGTATGTGATTCACTCTTTTGGCAGTTTGAGTGCCGGTATATTATTCATCAGGCGATGGAGACGTTGATGAGTAAACATCGACAGTGAGAATAGTGACAGTTTTAGTATACAAACCGCTATCCCCTAAAAGTAATCAGGTTGATTAACGTTAGCGATAAAGGAATTATTGAATAACTTTCATTATTTCCGAAGAAATTATTCGAGAGATGCAGTACTTGCACTAATAGCTGCGATATTAGACCGATATGATGTTTCCAGCTTAGAGCTGGCAAAAGTCATGGCAATGAACATACAAAATCGGAAGCCAAAATATTATCAACTTTTCGAAGCTTTACCAAGCTATGAAAACAATACATATGATCCGGATTTCAACGACATTCCTTCAGATGAAGAAGAAATCGCAGAAGAAAACACACCTCAAAAACGAACGGCCACGCCTGAGCCCCCCCATGGAAAAAGCAAAAAGCCCGGCGAATGAAAAAGTTCAACAGCCAAAAAAGAAAAAGACCAAAAATCCCGAAACCGACCGGAATAGTGAAAGTAAGACCGCTGACATCACATCCGGTACGTCACAGAATACGGGCGAGCCGGAAGGGACCAAACAAAAGGTGAAGCAGGTAGCCCAGAAGGTTAACCCCTAATTAAAAGACAATACTCCCGAACTTCTTCACCCCAAACAACCGCACCCCTTACGCTCTCGATGGACAGCTCGATGGCATGGTTACCATTGTATCTAGAACCACGTTAGCTATACTACTCCGCACAAACTCAAACCTCGGAGGGTTATCGTTCGTAGAGATGCAACAGATGGTTGGAGTAGATTCCGACAGATTTTTTCAACTAACCAGAGCTTAATTTTTTTCATTTTTTTCTCAAATTCACTATTAACTCCAAAAATCAGGTTTCATTATGATTTTCCACTTGATGTTGATTCTATTGGGGACACTTTTCTCCCAAAACACGTTTCACTAACCAAGTTAGCATATTCAGGAGATGTGACAGCAGTTTTGTTGTAATAAGGAAAAAGTTCATGTTTCTAAATGGAATATTACTGATGTGAGAATTAAAAAATTCTTGGATAATAATTTTTGTTTATGATCTTTTTCAAATTGAACAAAATGCATTTTTCAATAGCTCATCCGAATGTGAAGGTGTTCATCACTCATGGTGGATTATTGAGTACAACAGAAACTATCTACCATGGCGTGCCCATTCTCGCTCTACCCATTTTTGGAGACCAGAAAATGAATGCAGCACATGCAGTTGCAGGAGGATTTGCGTTATCGCTGTCAATATCCAAGATTACTGAAGACGATATCTCTGATGCATTAAATCAACTCTTAAATGATCCCAAGTAAGCAAACATATTATTTCAGATCTATAATCTGCTTTTTCATATTTTTCACTGGGTACGTACTCATTTTATAACTTTGAATTGCCGGTTGTTCTCGGTTCGACTGCAGATATGATATACACATACTCCATGTTGCCTTACCCCAAATAGGTGTGTGATACATGAAATGACAAAACACAAGACCCCATACATCTCACGAATTACATTTCTTTTGCATGAAATCTTTATGGAATAGCAACTTGGTCTGTTGATTTTTCATAGGGTGGAGTATGGTATATACCACATGGGCTGAAAAGTCTCGGGCCCCACACATAGAGGGCACTAGTAATATTGGAATAACCGCTTTTCCAGTTGGTACTAGACTTCAGAAGGAAGCTGTTGAAATTTCATGATATTCTACCAATAAGTTTGGTAGTTATTGTACTGAAAGTCTACTTCTGTTATTTGCAAAACAATGGATTGAAAACAATTTCGCATTTAAATTTCACACTGCTTCTTGATGATGAAAATACTGTTCAAGCAGAGCAATGGCTTGAAAAGTATTATAATGACTCTGTTCTATCAGAAACAACAACTGAACGTTGTTTTGCTGACTTCAAAGATGATCTTAGAGACACCGATGATGCAGAACACGGTGGACGTCCAAAATAAGGCAGTAACACCAGAAAACATAAAAAAATTCACAAAATCGTTTTGAATGATCGAAAAGAAAAGTTGCGTTAGTTAGCTGACATGGCAGAGCTATCAAATGAAAATGTTTGCTTCATATTGCATGCGTATGGTGACTTCGTGCAAAGCGCCCAAAAGCACAACAATCGTCTGGAAAGTTATGGCTTTGGTAGTTCCAGATATGCGTGGTGTGATATTCATCGACAATCTTGAGAAGAGAAATTCCATCAACAGAGCGTTTGAAGGCCGTGTAATAACTGCCATTCATAGAGATCGAGGTCGATCACCCGTTTTCCAGTTGAAAAAGCGCTGAACTTTTTCATGACTGTCGGATCTTCGAGCGACGTTGTGGTCATGTTCAAGTTGGGCTAGACTTAACAAATGAATATATTATATTCTGTCGATTATCATGAGGTTTTTGTGAGTAGCATTGCTGACGCGAGGGCTTGTGAGTTTTTTGGAGGGACACAAAATGTCGGTCACCAAAGCCCGTCGAGACGAGATCGGGGGTCTCATCCCTCAGCCTTCGAAGCCGAGGAAGGTGGCCTAAATAGGGAACTTATTTCTTTTCTAAGCGCGTGGTGCGAAATTTAAGGAAAATCAGCAGTAAAATCATAAACCGTTGATGGTTACACGGGAGTTTGAAATAAAAGTGTTGGTGTTGAAGACACCCCGAGTCAACGAAACCTATGGTTTTCTTATTAGTCAGTGGGCTATGCTTGAAGACTGGCAGTAAACAATTGTTTACTGCCAGTTTTCAAGCATAGCCCACTGACTAATAAGAAAGTTTTTCTTCCTCATGCAGTTGGTTAGTAACTCGTCCACTAGATGGAGTGACATTTTGTGATGTTCGCTCCAACTTCGGAAGAGGAATGAAATACTCTGAAAGAATTCCGATTTTCAATTGTGGAATATCATTGACTTCAGGTTGATGATGGTCACTATCTTGCACTGATGAGTGGCTAATAAGCCCAAAACCGATGTGCAAGTGTGCCCGTTCCATAATTGAAGGTCGACTCTTTCAGTTGTATTGCCAATTGCATATGCAGGAAATTTTCTGTGTAGGTATATAGAGACTGGCTTGAACGTTTGAAGTTCCATTTGCTTTAGATTTAAAACCTGTGGTTGACCATGAACCACTCAAAGAGGCGTTATGTGAGTGTTTTTTTTTATCAATCAGTTGATATTGAGAGTTTGTCTGAGTTCACTTCTATATATATATACCGGGTGTCCCACATTTTAAGTGACAGGCAATATCTGGTTGGTTGAAGGAGATACACAAAAATGTTTCATACAAAAGTTTTATTGGTAATAAGGGTCCAATTCGGTGGCCGGCTCGTTCCCCAGATTTATCACCGCTTGATTTTTTCCTATGGGGTTATTTAAAAGATATTGTTTTTACTACTCCCCCTTTGAATGTGGATGATCTGAAAATGAAAATTCGACTAGCGTGCAGTGATATTACGCCTGATAATAGGTTCGTTCCAACCTTGAGTCACAAACAGATTTCCAACTGTTTACCAGACATGCGTTGTAAGCATGTCTGGTAAATATTGGTTTCTGATTGATTTGAAATTTCTGATTGGAACAGCTGATAGTTCAACTGAAGTTTGGCATGGAATTTCAACCTAACCTTCAAAAATAATTTGGGAAAGAAAGTTTTTGGCTTTCTACTACTCCATCTTAATACAAAAAAAGGGACGAGGAAATCTTCCAAAGAAAGGAAGGAAGTAATCAATATGAATGTGTAGATCATGCAAAGAAGTAACTTTCAGACACAAACTGAAAGAATGTCCTCCTGAAACAGTTACTTTCATATAAATATTGAAGTACACGAAAGAAAAAAAAATTCTTTCGAAACAAATACTTCTATATGAAAACTGAATTATACAGAAGATACTTTTCTCTACTCAGTTTGTATTTCAAACATTCCACAACGAATGTCACTCCCAAAAATATAACCCCTTCAATTCTTTATGGTCTGTAGCACCTACACCAAATACCCTGTATATTTGAAAATTATATCAAAATATAGCTCTCATGAACTCCTAAAACTTTTGTATGAAACATTTTTGTGTATCTCCTTCAACAAACCAGATATTGCCTGTCACATATATTTTGTTGAGTTCCTAGTGCTGATTGTTTAGCTAGAATAATATTACAATTGCAAAAGAAAGAGGGCGAAAATTCAAAGTTATTCAACAGGTTAAATAATTAGCACATAGCATGGTAAAATTGGCGGCATTTCCAGGGTTCTATTTCATAGAATTCAACATTTTCCTTCTATATAAGATTTTACACGTTGTTTTTTTTTATTATTTTGTCCATGGAGTAGTTTTCCTACTCATTTCACCTCATATTTGAAACCTTGGAATTTCATCTTCTTTCGGAATGAGAAAAATAACATCCTCGTAGAGTCAGATGAAGTTAAGAGAACAAAAACAAATAAGAGACTTTTTGTCAATCTATCGAGAAGAGAATAGTGAGTGAAAAGCATTTTAACTAAGATTAAAATTCAGTTCTGGAACCACATAATTAAGATTGTGAGTAGGTATACTGAATGACTAGATATCAAAAAGACCAGCCTTCATGCGTTCGGCACGAACACTACAGCCTTTTGGGATTTGCCTAACATCCAAATTTTGATGTGAAGAAATCTGCATCTGGTGACGGCAGCTGCCAAATTTTATTTAAATAAAACAAACAACGCAATAGTGAGAGGGTTACCTAGGATTGATAGGCAGTTAAGTATTATTTCACTGGTGACAAATATACAGTGTCATCCCCAAAGTATGCACCATATGGGACACTTAATTATTAAGGGTGTTTCGACAAAAAGTTATTCTTGATTAAAGTTTGTGCATCCCCTAAAACTGAACATTCACCAACAATATACAGTAAGACATATGTAATATACGAGGAGCCTTCAAATATTTGATTTTGAGACATGAGTAAAGTACTCTTGTTTTGAAAAATCTCGGAAAACGTTATTTGAAAAAGTTGTTCATCATCGAAAAATACATCTAGATTTGAAGTCATGGTCATCTGAGCGAATTTTTTTACCCGTTTTTTTTAAAATGGGGACTACGAAAAATGAAAATGATAAATAGACAGCATCCTGTATACGACGTTTCATTTTGAAAGCCTTCAATATCACGTATTACACAACTATGGTGTTAACCACGGTCAATTTTTTGAGGAGTAAAATAATTTTCAAAGTTTTTGGTGCAAAGTTATTTTTGGTTAACACCGAAAATTATTCAGAATCATACTGTATTGTAACAAGAACTTGACATTCGATAATATCAAATCACACGACATCAAAATCAAATAGGTATTTCGGAACAAACTCATTGATTTTTTGGAGATTTTCTTGTCCAAAATGAATCTCCAAAATAATCTCCAGATAATCAATGAGTTTGTTCCGAATTATCTATTTTATTTTAATGTTTTGTGATTTGATATCGTTGTATAAGAAGTTCTTGTTACAAGACTGCACAATTTTGAGTAATTTTTGGTGTTAACAAAAAATAAAATTAACTTTGCACCAAAAACTTTGAGGATTATTTTACTTCTCAAAAAAATTGACCGTGGTTAACACCATAGTTGTGTGATTTGTAATATTGCAGGCTTTTAAAATGAACCGTCGTATTCAGGATGCTGTCTATTTATTGTTTTAGCAAATTTTCAATTTTCGTAGTCCCCATTAAAAAAAATGGGTAAAAAATAAAACTCCACTTAGATGGCCATGACTCCAAATCTAGATGTTTTTTTCAATACTGAACAACTTTTCAGATTAACATTTCCCGAGATTTTCCAGAAAAAGAGTAATTTACTCCTGTCTCAAAATCAAACATTTGTTGTTGAAAAACCCTTAATAAATAAGTTGGTGCATACTTTGGGAATGACACTGTATATAAAAACTCGTCGATGGTACTTTGATGACAGATAAGTGGGATTTCACGAGGATTTCTCGGTTGAGAAATCTAATAATTCCACCATTCAGACCTTTCTAATTTTTGTACGTTATTACTCTGTTAAAGGAAGAGGATATTATCGTAGTATTACAGGCGAAATTGCGAAGAAATGACCGATTATGGTAAAGACAAAAATGTTGTTCCATCAATACAACGCAGCGTGTCACGAGTCGAACAAAACGATGGCAAAACAACCTGAATAAAATTTCGAATTGCTCCCACATCCACTGTATTCGCCAGATTTGGCTCCTAGTCACTACTGGCTGTTCGCAGACCTATGAAAAATGCTCATCGGTGACGAATTTTGGTCGAATGGGGAGGCTATAGCTGAAACTGAAACCTATTCTGAGGTAAAAGATGAATTGTTCCACAAAAGTGGTATTGAAATGTTAGAGCGGCCCTGGAATGATTATGTTACTCTAGAAAGAGATTACATAGATTTTTATAAAGCCAATTTTGAACAAAAAATGCGTTCTCTTCCTTGTACCCGGGACCTTTCAGGCCAGCATTAATCAATCTCTCATGTAGAGTGTATCGTTTCATACCATACAGTGATGATCTTTGATGGAATTCACTTTCATTAAACACCAGGATACATGTTTTTTTTAAGTTCGTTCATATTGTATATAAAGTAACTTTTTTTTTCTTCCTAGGTACAGGGAAAATGCCAAAAAGAGATCAGCTTTGATGCATGACCGTCAAGTGAAACCCATGGATCTTGCGATTTACTGGATAGAATACGTTATCCGAAACAAAGGAGCACCGCATCTGAGGGTGGCTGCCCTGAACTTAACGTGGTATCAATATTTATTGCTAGATATTATTTCAGTAGTTCTGATCATTGGTATCATTTTGATGTTTGTTTCGTATTTATTGATGAAAAAGTTATGTTTGTCAAGAAAAAGTGACATGAAAATCAAAAGTAATTGAGAGTTAGATGTGAACATCCTGAAGGTAGTTCCTTATGATACCTAATCACCTCACTATTTTGAATAAAGAAGTATTTCGTGTATTCAACAGGAATCTCCTTATCAGTGATTCAGAAAATGTTAAAAGGAATGTTAATGAATAAAAGAGAATTGGAACTTTCTATAAGGACTAATGTAATGAACCATCGTTAGTTTATTGTATAAGTTTGAAAATGTCCTTAGGATGAAACTGCAGTAACGTTAGTTACAAATAAAAGTGGTTAATAACATAGAAAGTTCATATTCTCTTTTCTTCGTTATGATTCCCTACTACGTAGTAAGAGCTGCATCCATCAATTTTTTCTTCTAAGGAATGTTAAATAAAATTTTGAAAGCAAAACAGTTCAAGACCAGTATCAAATTCCAATTATTCCGTATAATTCATTCAAAATACCAAAGAAACCTGCTAATGATATAGAAACTCAGTTTCTACTACATTGAAAGTAATAATGAATACGGTTTCTTCACGATGAACATTTTCTTATCATTGTTCGATAAAAGTATTGGTAGCCATGAGTTGAAAAAGTATTGGTAGCCATGAGTTGAAAAAGTTGTCGCACCCCTACGAACAACAACTCAACCAATCATCCATAATTGATGCTTGATTCCACAAAATTGTGAAAACAGTATCGTTCAGTACTACTCTCAAATGAAATGGATATTACTGGAGTATTATTCATACTCAACCAGCAAAATTGTTTTATAATTTCATGGTGCTGCAAATGTTTTTTTATGTTGGTGTTTTATAATTACTCCCAAAATACTGATTGATTTTATTAGACGAGCCGTGAACACAATATAGTTGTAGGCAATAGAAATAAATGTTTTATAAATTTGTCATAGAAATGTTCATGGAATAAAATTAAAATACCGTTATGAAATAGTCAGGAAATCATCACTGAAACGTTCTTACAACTAACTTGTATATTGTACAACAAGTAAGAAAATCGATATATTTCTCACGAGCGCAGAAGTTTGTTGGCACGATCCGAAAGCGAGTGCCGCAAATCAAGCGAGTGAGTAATATATCATATTCTTACGCATTGTACACTGTACTTTTTCTACGGTTGCGTTCGTTGTTTCCAAGTATTTGAAAACTAAAATACATATATAATAATACTTGTATGTCTGAATTGGAGGGGTTATATTTTTAGGAGTGATTAATTAATGTATCAGATGGAGTAATAGAAAGCCAAAAACTTTCTTTCCCCAAAAAAAAAACTTGTATGGCATTAACTCATTTTTATATTTTATTCAAAATAGTAATTAACAGTTATATCTGAACAATTTTGTAAAATAATTTCTGGTAGGTCGTTTTGTTTCAACATGTTTTCAGTAATTGAAATATTAGCTGCGGTTGAAGTTGATGGGGAAACTGAGCTTCCACACCATTATTGTGTTCAGGTTCTAAAGGCGCCGGAGGCTGAAAGGATTCTACTATACTTTTTAAAATTATCATTTTGTTAGCTATGAAGTTGTCGATATAAGATTCAGCAAAATTGCTGGATTTCCAACCCCCATGGCATTTTAAGTTGAAAGATCTGCCCCTGCATTAACTGAATTAGTCGCAGATGACCTTCGGAAACAGTGAGCAGTATATGATTTAGGGTTCGTCAATTGCAAAAATTTCGCTATTTCTTTAGCCATGGTGCAAATTTTTTATCCCCACAGGATGTTTCGTACATTTGCTATTTTTGTAATAAAAAAAACGTGTTTCATTTGTGCATGGTTGAAGCTTCACATATGTTTTTGTAAATTTGGTAGAATTTTCCTGTGACTGTGAAATTTCTAGGAACCTTGGTTTTAGTATCGAGTGATTTTATTAAAAGGGCCGAATTAAGATTTTCCATATCATCAATTTTTATTAGCAAATACTTTTCATCCGGTCCATCTTTTAAAAATTGTTGAATTTCTTCAGAAATTAATGTTTTTGATTGTTTTGGAGCATATTTTTCAGATTTTCGTTTCAAAAATGCACATAGTTTTACGTATTTCGATATATCAACACAGTTTTTAATAATTAAGGTACTCCTCAGCATCGAGTACTGAGACCATAATTGTGATGATTTCAATCTTCTTGACAAAGCGACTTCTTTCTTTTCTCTTGATATGCTTGGTAGCAAATTCTTACAAACATCTATTGTTTTCCGAACAATTTCTGGAGGTATATTTTCCAACTCTAAATTTTCGTATTCCATTATATTCAATAAATCAGAACTGTTTATATTATAACAATCGATAATAAAACTATTTTCTTTGGGTAAGTTTTGTTGTTATGGAAACGCCGACAATGGGCTACTTGGATATTGCACGCGAATCGTCGGCGTAGCGTTGTCAACATGGAGAACGTGTCATATCAATCTGACATGTAACAATTCATGACTGACTTGGGTTATCGTGATGACAGTGAGAAATTATTTATTACTGTAATGGCGGATATTTCTCACTGCGTGAGAAATTTTTTGTTTTGAACGTATGAAAAAAATTGTTTTCTAGCAGTTATACAGCACTTTTCTGCGAGGTTTGTATGATCTTTATGAAACTTTTTCAAGCTTACTTCATAACTGATTCCTGTAGCTTTGATGAAATTATATTGTTGGAATGCTTTCTATATTCTCACGTCGTCGATAACTTCCCAACTATTTCATAGTATGGTATATTTACTGCTGTTCCAAAACAATAAAATAACTGTCATAAAATCAAATTATTGCTTTCGCGAATATATACTGGCTGTCGCCAAGACATTGATTTTAGAGGTTATCATCAGTGGCGCCTTTCTTTTTGATTCCGAATAAATACACTTATTATCTTCGAGTAATTATATCACGGACCAGCATATCATTAAGGTAGCTGCCTACATGGCCATGCCAGTCGTTTTCTAGTTATGCAGGGTTTCCAATATGGAACCACAGATATGCGGATATGAGCTATACATTTGGATGCACCGCGATTACCTCTGCTGTCCTGGCGGTACAGCACAGGTAATCGGGTCAACACAGGTAAAAGGGGCAACCCAGGTGAATTGTACTATCCACCCATCACAGAAGTTTCCATATGGCTGAGTGGAACTACTGAAGCAGTTACAAACGTACGTCAACAGGAGAAAACCCTTTATAAATATAAATATTGCAAAAAAGATGGACATAAAGTTGAAACATGTGAATTTTTCAAGAAACTTGATATTGAAAACGTTGAAAGTGTGCAAGAGAAAAAAAAGTGTGCTTCCAAACATAACTCACTTTTGCATAAAGTAGTCGAAGACAATTCACTTCGAAGACAATTCACTTGAGGTGGAAGAGCAAATTAGTCACCATGTCAACCATTCCGTGAAAAATGGAATACTGCTAAGGATTGTCTTTGGTCCTGAAAGTAAATTCAAAACATTTGCCCTCTTTCATGAAGCATCCACCATTACCATGATCGATTCTACGCTGACAGGCAAAATACATGCAACAGTTCCATGTGAAATGTTGAGAATCAAATGGACTTTCGAAGAACACAATTCAAAAAAATGTCATTGAAAGTACGGGCTCTAAGTGAGAATATTACGTACAAATTGAGCAATGTACGTATCGTTGAGAATTTGTCTAGTCTGGTGCAGTCTGTGGACGCAAAAAATCTATCCAAAAAATTGGACCGACTATTCAAGAAAAGTTTTTTATCAACTAGAAAAGTCCATGAAGTGGGAAAAATTATCCTATATTGTCTAGTTTCGAATTAGGATAGGTTATATATGGAAACCTCAACAAAAGTCATTTTGGCAGAGTCGATAAAGAACAATATTTTTTTGTCAGCCACTAGCAAAATTATTAGTTTTATTAATTTCGGGGTGAAATATCATTAAAAATCACAAAATCCATATGATATCCGAGCCACAACAATCTCGGAGGAAACTTCAGAAAATATTGATTTCAACAAGTGGTGAGCTGGACTTTTGTGAAAGAGTGACCAGTTCAAATTCCCAAATAGAAAACTTACTGCACTGAACCGGCTGAGAGCTATAGAGGTAATGCTGCAGTTTCAGCAGACTTCGAACTTTGGGCTGGATATGAAGCTGCGATCGTGTTAACGCAAGTGAAGTCCCATACCACAGGTTCACCGTATTTCCATGTAATGAAAGACATACCATCTGGTCGTTCACCACCATCTCGACTGATACCTAAGAGCTCCAGAATTGCAAATACATCCGCTGACACCATAGTCCGTTTCAATATGTCGTTCACCTGGTGATGTCGAGATGTACGCCCTATATTCCTCCTGCAACTCAAACCATGTGTACTTTTCTCATCAACTATACTGTCGCAAACATGAGTATGATTTCGAAAAAAGTTATTCATGAGTATGAGGCACACAAATAAATAAACCTATCGTAATTCCTACTGCTATCCTGAAAGATTCATCGTCTGATAGTGTTCCAAGAGATGCAACAGCTGAAGCATTCAACCAAGCACCCGATTCCTTGATCCTTGCTGCTTTCAGACGAGCCTTATCGTATACACTTGTAGATTTATGAAGTTCATCATTATTCAGAAGTCGGTTCCATGCCCTTTGTATTATCTTTTAATATGCGAGAGGAGCAATATTAGTTGCGGCAATTCAAAGGAATTCACCTTCAGCATAAAATACATCTTTGATATTGCTAATTATAGAAGGAAGAATGGAATCGGTAACATCAGAAACACTATTGACTGACGACAGAAACGCTGGTAAAGCTAAGGAAGAAGCCGAACGTAGCCCTAGTCCGCCAAGGTTTACAGGAAGCGCTGCTTTGAGCCATGAATCATTATCGAAATAATTGTTTGTAACATATTCCGTCGCGTTACAGAGTAAATCATCGAAATCGTCAAGCTCTAACCGACTTGACCAAGTGGAAGATCTGTGTGACGCAAAACATGAATTTAAAGAATCAATCAATTGTTTTATTGAAGATTATTTGACGGATGAGACAAATGTGCTGTCTCACTAAAACGTTAATGCAACTTATCGTCTAATTACTTGTAAGTGATAAATTGATTGTTGTGTTACTGATTCCATTAGTTTTTTATCTTCCATATAGTGCCTGCTTCACACATTGAACTGAAATAGTTATTCTGTAAATCGTGCGTCAGTGATTAAATTTATGACTTGCTACGTAAAATGAACCTCACAGTGGAAATGCACTGATACGTTACTCATCATAGTTTTCATTTAATCGGTATGGTACCAAAAAAAATACTCAGATAACAAGTATTGACTCAATTGTTTTGAAATAATCGCAGGCATTTTCTTGATTTATAGCGCATTATTGTTGATCAAAAGTACTAAAGCCTATTCAGTACAATGAGAGTAGTGATTTTTTCTCC